TGTTATTTGGTTATTCTTGATTTTGTATACATAGGAAGTTGTATTGTCAAATGAAGGTGGATCAATCAAATATTTTCTCTACAGATTTTTCCTTTCATATTAGTTCAATAATATATATATTATAATTTGTTGATTTGGGATTATGAGGCAAAAAAGTGTAAATGGATCCATTCTTATATTTATTCTTATCGAAGGACTAATTTACAGAGAAATGCCTTGAGTATGAAGGAAGGAATTATTGGTATGAGGCAAGAACTAATAGTCCCTCCAGATTGGTTTCAAATTAACTCCGACGTGGCGTGTTCACCCGACGTCTGCCTTGGTTGGGTTAGGGATAACTATTTGATCCAGCTCTAATTCCCTCATTTTTTCCTTGGCCAAGTACATTGAGATGGGGTATTCACACCTTCATGTAGAACTTTGTGTCATCCGAAAGGTGCCAGGCTCATTGTGCATTTAGAGATATGAAATCATGTGTTGTTTTCCTATTGTCTTGAGGTGATTCAGCTAGTGCAAGGAGATTTCACTACTCGAAGCGAAGCTTCTCCTTGAATTTCTCATATTATTGAGTTGAAGAAGCATTTTAGTGGATTGAAATTTATCCATATCAACCGTAGCATGATCTGTCAGTAGATACTTCAGCAAAAAAAAAAAAAAAGAAAAAAAAATTATTCATGTTCTATCTCTGAATTGTGGATAGTTGTTTCTCATATCGATTTATAAATAATGTTATTCAAAATCATTCTTCAGATGTAATCTATTATGGTATTATTCATTAATAAAGTCATCTCTATATATATATATTACAATACAAATAAAATCGATCAACCTTACAAAAATCGTTTTTTCCGAAGATAACATTTATAAAATATTAATGTTCAATATTAAATATATTCAGGTCAAATAATATATAGTATTAAGGGTGAGTTCACCAAGCAAGCACGAGCCCAAGTAAGACCCATTTCAAGCTTAGGCTGGAGAAGCTGCAACGACTGCACATTGTTCGGCTAGCGGGCGTGGCCATTGTGCGGCCAACGCTGGGGGCATTGTGTGGCAAGGGCGCCCTTGCGTGGCATTGCGCTTGTGCAACTGCGACATTGAGCAGATGTGTGTGTGCATGCGTTGCGCAGTTTTGGGCTCACACCACGATGCACAATCATTCTTAGAACTACGAGACTGATTATTCATCTTCATGGTCAAATCCTATAAATAGAAAGGATTGTTGATCTTTCAAGATACGTCATTTCCTCTCAAACCACTCTTTACTTCTCTCCTCTTAAGCATATATACTGACTTAAGCATCAGAGTGTGGTAGGCCAGCACTACGCCGGTAACCACTCACCTTCTCTTTTTACAGGTCGCCTTCACCTCAACTTCCAGAGCCAAGATCTCGTGTAGACTATCAACTCTCTCGATCTTCCAAATAACAAGATCTCGTCTTTCCCCTGTTCACAACCCATCAGGTCACAACTTTTTCGAGCCAAGACCCAAAATCTATTTGATCACTCGACAGTCGATCCACTGGTTGTTCGATTCAGTTGACCCAAACTTTCGATCCGACCAAGATCCCCAGAAATTGCATCAACAGTTGGTGCCGTCTGTGAGGACTACAGTCAAAGCATGGTTTTATCATAGGCTCATAGCTATAATATTTCTAGTCATAGACCCACATGACAGTCTTACCATTCAGGAGGACTGCTCAAATCCAAAACGAAGTCAACGTCCTAGCCCTTCTAAAAAACTAGAGGGGAGCTGATCCATCATTCCTCATCAAACCTGTGATGTTAGAGGAGAGCGTGAAAATCTCACTACAACCACAAAACATACCCATGCCTCGTATGAGAAATTAATTATGGGAGGGAATGATCAAATATAGAGTCATCCTAAGGTTGCTCCACCATACGAGATCCCACCTCCACGATACCACACTAAGAGCAAGAGACATGACGGCCAAACCCATCTACAGGCAAACGTGCGTGAGTCAAGTAGTAATGATATGTAAGACTTTCTCAACTATAAGAAGAACGTCAATGCGAATTTAGGCATAACAAATCTATGTGATCTCTTAAATGACCAATGTCAAGCGTAAAACTTAGCATTTGATGTCAAAACGGCAACATCACCGACACTACCCAATAATCCCTTGGTGTGCCTCGAAGGAAACGAGAGAGTACCCACTATATAAGAATCCCTTAGCAAGTCAAGTCCTCTCTTTGTCAATAATATTATGAATGTGGAGATACCTGCCAAACTCAAACGACATACCATGTAACAATATGACAACATTAAAGATCTCTAAGATCATGTTGATACATTCATAGATGGATCCATAGGGGGCCCTAGATGAAATCAAGTGTCAAACGTTCTGCTTAACACTCACATGACTTGTCAATGCCTGGTGCCGACAACTTAAGAGACATTCAACCACCTCATTTGAGGAATTGACTCGAGCTTCTCCTAACCAATTCATCGTTTGCAAGAATAATAGATGACTGTCACTCACTTATTGACACTCCATCAGGGAATAGATGAAAGTCTTCACGACTACATAAAACGCTTCATTAACGAAGCTTTAAAGTAGACAGAAGCTCAAATGGTACAACCTTTACAACTATATATCATGGTAAGGTTCCAGGACGATGAATTATTTGTGGTCACTCGAGAAGAAAACTCTAGTCAACTTTGATGAGTTCATCTCTCAAGCACAGATAACAACTCTTCTTGAGGTCTTCCCTTGAGGATGCATTGAAATGTACGGTCTTCCTTCGAGGATGTGCTGAAATCTTCTTGAGGTATTCTCTTGAGGATGCGTTGAAATCTTTTTGAGTTCTTAATTAGAATATGCACTGAACTTTTCTTAACGTCGACTGGGCGGCCACGATCGAGGAGTTATCTCTACCTTAAAAACTACCTCGGCCGTGAGAACTATCTCAGTCTCAAGAAATCGCCTAAGCCTTGAGTGTCACCTCAGCCTCGAGCACTATATCGGCCTTGAGAAATCACCTCGGCCTCGAGTGTTACCTTGACCTCAAGCAATATTTCGACCTTGAGAACTATCTTGGCCTCAAGAAATAACTATCTCGGCTTTGAGAACTATCTCGGCCTCAAGTATCACTTGGGCTTTGAGCATTACCTCAACCTCGGGAACTACCTCGACTTTGCAAATCATACGTAACGCAGGGAACATAAACTCTGTTCTTAAAGGACAAAGATTAACGGTAGTTAGATACTAATCGGTCTAGACAAAAATGCTATTTTCGAAGTTGGGCTACTCTTCGCCTCATGTAAATGATGTGGTGATTCACCCAACTCGAAAGGGGGGGCCATTGTTTAAGGTGAATTTACCAAGCAAGCACGAGCCCGAGTAAGACTCATTTCGGGCTGGGGCCAAAGAAAAAGTGCAAAGACTGCACGATTGCTCGTTTCTTGATTTTGTACTCGCACCACAATGCACAATCATCCCTAAAACTACAAGATGCTTAATCATCTTCATGGTCAAATCCTATAAATAAAAAGGACTCTTGACTTTTTAAGGTACGTCATTTTCTCTCAAACCACTATTTACTTCTCTCCTCTTAAGCTCATATATTGACTTAAGTATCAGATTATAGTAGACTGGCACCAAAACCAACATCCACTCACCTTCTTTTTTTGCAAGTCGCCTTTGCCTCAACTTCATGGTCATATAAAGTTGACTTCAGGTCGCCTTCGCCTTTGCTTAATCATCTTCATGGTCAAATCCTATAAATAAAAAGGACTCTTGACTTTTTAAGGTACGCCATTTTCTCTCAAACCACTATTTACTTCTCTCCTCTTAAGCTCATATATTGACTTAAGTATCAGATTATGGTAGACTGGCACCACGCCAACAGAGCCAAGACCTCGTGTAGACTATCAACTCTCTCTGTCTTAAAAACAATAAGATTCTCGCCCTTCTCCTATTCACAACTCATCGGGTCACAATCTTTACTAGCCAAGACCCAAACTTTGTTTAATCACTCGACGGTCGATCCACTTGGTCATTTGGTTCAGTTGACCCAAATTTCCAGTTGGATCAGGATCACAAAAATTGCACCAACACAGAGAATAGTTTTGAGAAAAAATGCCATCTCAATCCATAAATTTCAAGATCATATACTTTTACCAAAATGGAAATAACTTTTTTTTAGGTTTTTTGTGATGACATGACAAAATTTTATAATTAAAAACAACATATTTTCTTTCTCTCCTCTCTCTCACCTTCGTGACGTGACGCTGCTTGCTAAATTATGATAATGTCAACCTTGTTAACAACTAGAATCCAAATTATTGAAATTTAAGGTTAAAAGTTCGTGCTTTTGAGTCTTTCTTCTTTTCATTTTTTTTATTTCAACAAACTTAAAGAGTCGAGATAAATTTGAATTTAAAAGGAATGAGTTTAAACTAGGCTAACCACATAGTTGATTTAATATGAGTTTTTTGGCAATCAAATGTTGTAGAATCAAGTAGTAGCTAGTCTCGTGAAATTAGTCGAATGGTGTGTAGGCTAGTTCGGACACTCATGGATATAAAAAAAAAGTAAAAAACAAACATAATTGTGAGAGATAAAAATTTAATTCATAAAAGATAATAAATGCCTTGTCTGGTGACCTATACTATAAAAAATTAATAACAATGAAACAGATGAATTTGTATAAAATTGTCAATTTGAATATAGTTCGGAAATAAAAAAGAAGTTGAATTCTCACTCGAGTTGTTGAAGTAAAAACACATATATTTGGCCAAAATTGAGAAACTATAATGTGAAATGCAAGCAAGGACTAGGTACACTTGACGCACAAAAAAATCGATTTTCTCAACCAAAAGAAAATCGCCACTTACCAATTTCAATTTCCCACACATTTTTTGTTTGTTTGTTGATTTTATTGCAACATCGATCTTCACAAATTTACGATCAGTTCAATTTTCTCTTCAAGAACACAACCAATCAAAAACAGGAACATAATTAATTTAATTTCTAATTTCTCTTAATTTCTCTAGATTATAAAATTGAAGTGTAGAAGTAAAATGAAGAAAGAGATCAGATTTCGCTGTTGATAAACTGTTGATCGTTGCAACTCCCACCGCCACCACCGCCGCGGCTATCACAAATTCACAGCAAACGTAGAAACCAGATGCTGATGGAGATACCCAAATTCTCGGCGAGGAAGCCACCGCAAGCGGCGGCGATGGATATCGACCAGATGCCGGAAAATCCCCACCGCGGTTCCCACCACCGCCGCTCCCACTCCGACAGTTCCTTCCGCTTCCCAAACCTCGACGACCTTCTCTTCTTCGACCCCTCGGAGCTTGACCTTTCGATTCTCTCCTCCCCTTCTCCTCCCCGAGCCGGCGGCGCTCCCATGGCCGTCGATTCCTCCAATCCCAAGGCCTCCGATGACGCCGTTCGCCCCAAGCCGGAGCCGGTTGTCTCCGGACCCTTTGGCGGTCACTTGCGGAGCTTGTCCATGGACTCCGATTTCTTCAAGAATCTGGACCTCGGCGGCGATTGCGGGGAGATCGATTCCTTGGGGAGGAAAACTCCGGTGAGTGAACAGCGGCCAGTTCGTCATCGACATAGCCTTTCCATGGATGGGTCTTCGTCGTCGTTTGAAGCCGATTCAACCCTAATTGACGGAGTGAAGAAGGCGATGGACCCGGAGAGACTTGCAGAGCTAGCCCTAATTGACCCCAAAAGAGCTAAAAGGTCATCATCACTCACTTTCTTTTTCTATCTTCAATTGAATTGGATCTTACACATTGTTGTTGAATTCGAGGTCGTTTTAGATGATAGAAGAAACTTCTGCACTGGAATTTTGAGTCTAATGAACTGAATTTGAAACTGATGAACTGAATCTTGGGTGGGATGGATTTGGATTTCTAGGATTCTTGCGAATAGACAATCGGCGGCTCGTTCTAAAGAGAGGAAGATACGGTACACGAACGAGCTGGAGAGGAAGGTTCAGACTCTGCAGTCTGAAGCAACCACTCTGTCGGCGCAGGTGACGATTCTACAGGTATGAATTGAATTCTGTTTCGCTCTTCAGTGGATTGGAAGTGTTGTAGGCCAAAAATGTAAGTTGCTTGTGTTCTTCTGAAACCCATTTGGCTTACAGATGTTCAGAAACCATATCAGTATTGCTGCTGAAGTTGAATAGAATCTAGATTTCTTGAAGAAAAATCTCAGGTTAGAAGCAGAAATTGAACAATAGCTCATTCTATAAGCAGAGTATTTCCCTCTGATCTGGTGTATGTTGAATCTCTAGTAAAGTAGAAGAAAAGGGACTACAAAATACTATAAAGTTGAGACGTCGTCTTGAATTCCCAGAGAGTCATGAGGTTGGATCATGTAAAATCATCTCTAGACTTGAAGGCCTAAGTTGATGCTTGATAGAGTATTGTATTCTAGTCTTCTATATATCTATAGCACTCCCTTCGCTTGTAGGTTTTCAAAATTAGATAGGTTTTTTTTTTTTGAGAAGTAGGTTCAAATCGACAACTTATTAGGGGATGGAACTCCTACCTTATACATGTTGAACTTCTTCCAAATCTGACAAGTTAGGTTAAAGTATATTTAATTTCTTATGTATATTCGTAACACTTTTGGAAAAGAAATGACATTCGTAGGATTGAAACACAATCTCTTGATTTGATGTTATAAGAATCCACATAAAGCTCACAGAAACAGAAAATAATTCTGGTTTCTTCACTTAATTATCAATCTCAGTTCTACGTGTTGGATCAATGGCGTCCATCATGTGGAATTCTCGTCTTAATATGGCTGCATTCTACATTTTTAGAACTTGAAATCATGATATCTTCTCTTCTTAATTGGAGATTTGGGTTTTACCTTATATGCTATATTGTTGTCTGAAAAACCTGTCCATTCTTACATGTTCTGTTTCCCTTTGCTGTTCAATTTATCTGAGTTTAGAATGTGATGGTTCCACTATAAACTCCAATTGTTCAATCTTTTAAACCGCCCACTTTCCGATGATTCATTGATACCGTCAACCAAGATGACTCTGTTTTTGCCTTGTACTGTGGTATCCTGGCCATTTTAAACTCTTTAAACCCTGGATTTTCATTTATGTAAGAGGTTTGACGTTAAATTTTGATCCAAGTGTATGTACCAATTCTTATATGAGAATTTCATGTCATGCAGAGAGATACAACTGGATTAACCGTCGAAAATAAGGAACTAAAACTTCGTTTACAGGCTATGGAGCAGCAAGCACAGCTTCGGGACGGTATGCATGTTGCAAGTTCCTTTCGATTCAACTTTCACTTCTCTAAATCCACTTCATGGCATAAAACAAGTATATAAATTAACGAAAACACACAAAACAAGCAAAAGAAAGAAGGAAAATGTTTATGTTTTAGAGTTTACCCTTCTCTCTGGGATGTGTTGTTTGTTAGATCTTTCTTTGTTCTCTCTTTTCCTTTAGTTAAAGGGAAGGTTCATTCACATACACAAGGATTCATATGAGTATTTTCTGTGATCCACAGCTCTGAGCGAAGCTCTGAAGGAAGAAGTTCAACGGCTTAGAATAGCAGCAGGACAGGTCCCATCGATAAATGGAAATCCGTTCAATCGACCTCCTCAGTATTCATCATCCCGACCTCCTTTACACCATTTTAGTAGTGCCCATGCACAGCAGGGACAACAGCAGCCACAGCCCATCTTGGCCACAAACCAGCAGCAATCAGATCCCAAATGGACGTCCTCGTCCCAGCTTCTCGGTCGTAATCCCGATGGCCAACCAAAACCTTAGAAGATGTATGTACACATAATATTATCTATCAAAAGAGGATAATGATTTCACAATCATTTTCTTGTACATTATTCATATATATCTTATATATGCATGAGAAGCCTTGTTCGTCATCTGTCGCCGTTACGAATGTTGCTGTTGTATCATTAGAATCGCTTGGAGGTATAATTGGATGATCACTGTAATTGTCCTTGAATAGATGATCGTAGCATCTTCATATGATTGTACACAGCTAGATCTGTGCCCCTTTCTTCTTGGCAGTGTATTTGAATGTAATATTGATGTTCCTGCTGTTGCTTGTTTTCTGTGTGAAGAATGGAATTCTTTTTATTTTGTTTATAGCTTTACTACTTGAAAATAGGGGTCTTGATTAGCAAGTATTTCGTTGGAATACAGTAACAAGGTTTTGATTTTGTAAATATATTAATTTTTAAAAAAAATTGTGTTATTTAGACACTTCTATGTAATTGTCTTTTTGCCTTTCTATATCACTCATTTACGCTTCATCCGTAATCTAGATTGATAAATGTTTCAAGGTCATTTTAGTCTTTTTCTCTGGGTGAGTTTTGGTTTAGCTTTTTTTCTCCTTTCTTTTTAACAAGATCATATTATCAAGGATAAAGCTATTTATTTTTGCAAGTCAACAAAATTTGTTTAAACAAAATCTAAAATTTGTTTATTTGTTTATTTTTCTGATTTTTCCTTAAATATCCATGCACATTCATATTTTTTCAATGACATCAGCCTTGCTTACAACCCTTCTACCTTCTATAAAGATGTTTTTGAAAAGGAATGTTTTATATTACGGTAATATTAGGGAATAGAAGTGTTTTGCCCTTGATGTACGTTTAGGAATTCGAACCTATGATCTTTTATTCGGAGGAGTTTAGAGAACAAAAATTAGAAGTAGTTATCATTATAGGGTAAAGTCGAGATGCCACATATCACAAGTCCCGTCTACCTAGGCAGACTGGGTCAAAGAGGAATTACAAAAGATTGAGCGCACCAACTTAGGAGTCGAACGGACTTGAGCATCCTGTACAAAGGACAGCCAACGGTAGGGTATTGATATATTGTACTCAAACTACGATATGCCTTAGAGGATCACCCAGGACACCACTACGTCTCCACTCGCAGTAAGAGGAGGGAAAAGACCTAGATGTGGCATGTCACCCTCTTTTCTTCGTCCCTCACTTTGAAGCTCACCTGCTTTTTCTCTCTATAGAAGGAAGAGAGCAGCCTTACTCAAGGTAAGTCATTTTTCCTACACAGACTCTTTAAGAGAATTCTACACAGTTAATATTAGTGTCATTCTATTCTATTTACTTCATACTCATCTGCACCCAACTTGAGTTTATTACAGTGCATTCAGTAGAGCACCACATTAGTGCTAGATTTCTGTGAACGGGTAACCAAGAGCTCAAAGATGAAGGCGTTCTTGGCACTGGCTTAACACCTACGTGGGGCTTGTCCAGAAATCTGTTGGGTTTTTGCAAAATATTACAATTGAAGTTTATTCCACACCTAAAAGATACAAGAAGGGCGTGTGCTCCAAATGCTAGAAGTTGTCCCACATCGGAAAAGTACAAGGAGGGAGTATGCTTCAAGTGTTATCAAATGAGCCCATAGGCTTGAGTTTTAATCATCCGAATTGAAATACTTTAAGTCGGTATTTGCTTTGAGAGAGTGTTTGTGTAATTGGGGTTGGGGAGAGAAATTTGTGTAATTGTAATAATTTTTCACATAGTAGATTTCCTTTTGTGGACCATGATTTTTTCTCTAGTTTGGAGTTTTCCACGTTTACTCTTGTGTTTTCTTTATTTTTGTTATTTCTTTTTATTTCTTAGTTATTTTATACGTATTTCGTAGAAATAAAGGTTTTTTTCCCATAAAGTGCTATCAGAGCTTTAGGTTTAGTTTCTAGAATTTCTAAGTATGCTCTGTGGTTTCAGCATTGTCTGAACTTTCACATCAGAAAATATTTCTTAAAACAAGCTACAGTTCAGATTTCTTAAAACGAGCTACGGTTCTGTGAATAGTGTTGGTTCTTCACTATTTACAGATTCACTATGAGTATGAATATGTCATTCTTTATGAGTCCAGTGAAAATTGACGTGGAGAATTTTGAAGGAATGATCAATTTTGGCTTGTGGCAAGTGCAAGTCAAAGATATGCTGATAAATTTGAGTTACACAAGGCATTGAAAGGAATACCAAGCAAATGTGGTTTTGAAAAGTTAAACCATGATGGTGGTCAAGTGGAGTCCAACAATGGATCCGGCTGAGGTTCTAAGAAATCTAGCATTAGTAATGAAGATTGGGAGAAATGGATTTGAGGGCTGCAAGCACGATACGAAAAAGTTTTGCTAAGAATATTCTTGCAAATGTGCGTGGAATTTCGATAGCCAAAGAGTTTTCGGAGAAGCTTGAAGCGAGGGAATCCGAAATCGACTGTACCTAAAGGAGCAGTTTCACATGCTGCAAATGGAGGAAGGTACCAAAACTTCAAATTATCTGAGTAATCTCTTTGAATTTTGCTGAGGCTTCTAGTAAACTGTTTTCAGAGGAAAGAAAGCTAAAGAGTGAAGGACGTACTTAACATGAAGATTCAACATTGGTAGCTAGCAATTGGAAGAATAAGAAAGATTCATGCAAAAGAAAGCTTGTTGCTGAAGATACAGACAACCTGGTATATGAAGAAAAATTGTCCTAACAGAGTAGATTCGTCAAATGGCTCTAGGCTGGATGCTGACAGTGTTTCTCTTGTTAGAGAAGATGATGATCTCTTCCTTTGAAAAGAGATAGAAATCATCCTCATGGTATGTTCGCTTTACTATGATAGAAGATGTGATGTTAGCGTTGCCACAGGTTTACACATGGTCATTGGCTTGGGCGGTTATGCAAGGTGTGTGTGATGGAAGTCATGTCAATGGCTGAAGAACTTCTAAGTGAGCCAAGTAGGTGGAAGTTGCACGATAAGTTGCAAGAAGATTATCGACATGAGAAAAAAATAAAGTAAAGGCAAAGGCACACAAACGATGCTACTGCTTCTCATTAGGGAACAAGATAAATATATAGTACATTAAGTAAAGAGAAATAAAGAAGAGAAAAACCCTAGGGTACAGCCAACGATAGAGGCCCAAAAACCATATGCCCAAAGAGGGAAAAGGGCTCAGAAGCCTATTGAAGAGGAATAAGACAATACACATAAAAAGAGACTTTTACACGGGACTTTTCTTTTATTTTCCAACTCCTCCCCTCAAACTACAGGAGACTGGCAGTACCCCAAGTTTGCTGCGCATGGTGTTGAAACTTGCTTCAGAAAGGTTCTTCGTCAGGCCATCAGCTACCTGTTCGTCGGTAGGAACATATCTAATTTCAAGTTACTTGTCAATTACCTTGTCTCTGATAAAATGTAGATCAATTTCTACATGTTTACTTCTTGAATGAAGATCAGGGTTTGCTGCCAAGGAAAGGGCACTTGTGTTATCGCACCAAATTATTGGAGTTTTTTCAATAGGGACATTGATTTCCTTCAATAAGGACTGAATCCAACTCAATTCTGTTGCTGCATGTGCCAAGGCCCTATATTTGGCTTCTGTGCTAGAACGGGCAATAACTCTCTGTTTTCTAGAGGCCCACGACACTAAAGAGCTTCCAAGGAACACAAGATAAGCAGAAATGAGGCGTCTATCATCCAGATTACACGCTCAATCGACATCAGAAAAGGCTGTAATTTGTAAGTTGTTTGATGCCTTTAGGTGTAATCCATAGTTTTTTGTTACTTGTAAGTATCTTATAACTCTCTTTACTGCCTTCCAGTGTGTATATGTTGGATTCTGCATGAATTGACTTAATTTGTTTGTTATGAAGGCAATTTCTAGTCTGGTATAAGCTAGGTATAGAAGTCCTCCAACGGAACTTCTATAAATGGTGGGATTTTCCAATGGTTGTCCTTCATACATAGATAGAGGTCTACCAGTTACTCCTGGTGTTCCACAAGGTTTAATGTGGTTTAGGTTCAATTGATCAAGTAGATCAGTTATGTATTTGGCTTGGGTTAGGTACATACCATCTCCATTTCTATAAGTCTCAATACCAAGGAAGTAGTCAAGTTCTCCAAGATCTTTCAAGGCATATATGGCGTTTAGCTCACGAATAAATCTCTGAATCAAGTGTTTGCAATTCCCAATAATCAAAATATCATCAACATAAATTAAGGTAAATAGAACTTGGTTACCTTGATGATAGTAAAAAAGAGAGCTGTCTGATTTAGAATTTTTGAATCCCCATCTAGCCAACGTTTGCTTCAAACTTTCATACCACGCACGTGGGGCTTGCTTCAAGTCATACAAGGCTTTATTGAGTTTACATATGTGGTTTGGCCACCTTTGATATATAAAACCCTCAAGTTGTAGCATGTAAACATCTTCTTCTAACTTTCCATTTTGGAACGCGTTAAATACCCAGTTGCCTTACTCCCCAACCTCTTGCCAATGCTATGGTCAAGACTATTCTAATTGTAGGTGTTTTAACAACCGGACTGAAAGTTTCATTGAAGTCAAGTCTAGGATGTTGATGAAACCCCTTTGCCACTAACCTTGCTTTAAATCTTTGAATGGTTCCATCCTGCTTGTACTTAGTCTTGAAGATCCACTTGTTTCCAACTAAGTTGTAGCTTTTGGAGAAGGGAACAAGAGTCCATGTATTATTTCTCATTAGAGCTCCTATTTCTTTGCTCATGGCATTTTTCCAACTTTGAGATTGAAGTGCCTCTACTATTGACCTTGGTTCCAACCCTACCATTTCAACCATATCTCTCTGTTTGGCAGCTACAAAAGTACGCAACTTGAGTTTAAAAATCCCACTTTTCGATCTAGTCTGCATAGGGTGTGAAGGGCCTTCCACTATTCCCGTGTTTTCTTCAATTTCAGCTGGATTGTCTCTGGTCATATCAGATGTTGGGACATTTTCTGCCAAGGTCCATGTTTCAGACTCATTTTGATCATTAGTAGCTTCAGGGAATAGTTCTGCCTCAGGGGAAACTAGAGTAGTTGAAGGTGAGGTTAATGGAGAGAGAATTGGAGGATCATTTGTGATTGTAGAAGTGTGTTGGTGTGAGGAGTTATTATTTGTGGCAGAAAGATCATTAGGTGTATTCAACCAAGTCACAATGGTCTCATAGGATTGTTGGATAGAGGGTGAAGTGGTTAGGAATCCAAGTTTAAAAGGAAACTCATCTGCATTAAAAAAGACACTCCTCGAAATGTAAATGCGACCACTTGAGTTTAGACATTTGTACCATTTGTGAGCTTCACTATAGCCTAGGAACACACATTTGGTGGAATGAAATTGGAACTTGTGCTTTTGTTATGGTCTGAGACACAGGAAGCATGAACAACCAAAGACTTTTAGGAATTTGTAGTTAGGATTTTTGCAAAAAGCTACTTCCCAGGGTGAGGCATAGTTTAGGACAGAAGTTGGAAGGCGGTTAATAATATAAGTGGTTGTGACAAAAGCATCCCACCAATATTTCAAGGGCATTAAGGCTTGAGCTAGGAGGGATAAGCCCATTTCTACTATGTGTCGATGTTTTCTCTCCACTATTCCGTTTTGTTCACTCGTGTGCAGGCAAGGATGACAGAACTCTATACCTTTTGCTTTTAGAAGAGGGACAAACGGTCTAAACTCTCCTCCCCAATCACTTTGAATGATTTTAATTCTTTTGTCAAATCGGTTTTCCACAAGACTTTGATATTGAATGAAGGTGGTAAAAGCCTCAGATTCTCTTTTGAGAGGAAAAATGTGGGTGAGTCTTGTGAAGTTATCAACAAAGCTAATGTAGTAGTTGTAACCTAAGGTAGAGGAAATTGGTGAAGGACCCCAAAGGTCATAGTGAACAAGCTCAAATGGTGCATTAGTTCGAGAATTGGAAGGTTTAAAGGGCTGAGAATGAGACTTTCCAAATTGGCAAGCATCACAAAACATAGGATTTTCATTGACTGTGGGTTTTTCATTACAAACTTTGAGAACTTGGCTCAACACCCTATCCGACGAGTGACCTAAACGTTAATGCCAAATTCTTTGGACTCTAGACTCTTTTTTAATGTTAAAGACAGATGAAGTAGACAAATGACTAGACTCTAGGTAGACTTGGGGGACAGAATTTGAAAAAGAGGCTTCGAAGACACGAGCTCTTGACTCTTGGCTTGCCTTAGGTAGATCTAGTTGAAGTTGGTAAAGACCATCTCTAAGTTTCCCTTGAAGCACCACCATCCCTGTTGCCTTGTCCTTCACAAAACAATAGTTTGAGTCAAAAACTACCACAAAACTATTATCAATAGTCAACCTTCATATGCTCAACAAATTTCTTTTAATACTAGAGACATGCAGAATATTTTTTAGGTTCACAGAGGTGCCCTTAGTATCATAAGTGTTGTGACCCACATTAGTAATTAAGAGTTTGGAACCATTACCAAGAGTAATTGACTCATCACCCTGATAGTCAGATTGCACCTTCAAGTTGCTCAGGTCAGGTGTTACATGGTTTGATGCTCCACTATCAGCTAGCCAACTAGGATCTGCAACAACTTCTGAGGTGGCAATATATGCAGTGTTATGTCCACTGCTTACTTGGTTTGGGGAGACAACTCCTTTTCGAACCTGTGATAGCAAACCGTAGCTGAATGACCATATTTACCGCACACTTGATAAGTGGGCTTAGAACCATTGTTTTTGTAGTAGTTAGTTCTTCCTTCATTTCCTCTTGCTCTTCCATTCCCTCTGTTTCCACCTTGACCTCTTCCTTGGTTGTTGGTTTTGTTATTACCTTGAGAGGAGGAATACCCTTGTCAATTGAAGGTGAGGTTGGCAACAAGGTTAGAGGTACCTTCAGTGATTTGGTTGATAGTATTCAAATGAATCAAGGTGCTTTCGAAAGTAATAAGAGTGGCATGAAGCTCCTGCCAATTCATTTCTTCCTTGTTGATTTGGCAGATTATAGGTAAATACTCAACATCTAGACCAGATAAGACATATGAGACGAGATCATCGATCCCAACGATCCCAACAGGAGCTCCAGCGATAGCAAGGTTATCTGCAGTTTGTTTCATCAATGTGAGATATTCACTCATCTTTAAGGATCTTTTTCTAGTGTTTTGTAGAGATGCCTTCAACTGCTGTTTTCTAGCTCGGTTTGTAGAGCCATAACGATCTTCCAAAGCTTTCCAAACTTTTCTAGATATAGAGAGATCAATGATTTCAGAGGCTATGGTTGGAGTCATAGATCCATACAGCCAACCTAGGAGTGCTTGGTCCATTATTGTCCATACTTCGTAGGCAGGATTCACAGCAAGTTCAGATGATCCTGCTTCTTGTGTTTGAAGTGCTAGGTGTTCAGCTGGTTGTGCCTTGGTTCCAAGGACATATCCGTCAAGCTTTTTTCCTCTCAATATTGCTAGGACCATCTTTTTTCATAGCAAGTAATTTTTCTCATCCAGTTTCACCGTGAGAACCGTGGAGAGAGGATTCCCAAAAGGATGGATTGATGTGGGGTTGACTGCACTCGTCACGATTGCATTTTCTCCCCCTGTTACAATGGTGTTAACATTCATACCCACCTAAATAAGGATGAGTTGGTACGCAAGTTGGGATAAGTCTCTGCTCTGATAACAAGAAAAAAATAGGGTAAAGGCAAAGGCACACAAACGATGCTACTGCTTCTCATTAGGGAACAAGATAAATATACAGTACATTGAGTGAAGAGAAATAAATAAGAGAAAAACCCTAGGGTGCAGCCAATGATAGAGGCCCAAAAACCATAGGCCCAAAGAGGGAAAATGGCTCAGAAGCCTATTGAAGAGGAATGAGACAATACACATTAAAAGAGACTTTTACACAGGGGACTTTTGTTTTATTTTCCAACTACATGTAACGAGGAAGAAAAATCTTGGAATGCGACATTCCAAGTGGTCTGCCTTTATGGTTGAATAGGTTATAGTTCTCTGAATTGAGAATTATGATTGCTGGTGAAGACAACGAGTGCAATAGAAGCTGTGAATTCTTCAATATCTTGCCATTATGAAATTTGTTGAGTTTTGGCAAAATATTAGAATTGAAGTTTGTCCCACATCGAAAGATATAAAGGAGAGACTGTGCTCCAAGTGCTAGAAATTGTCCCACATCGGAAAAAGTACAAGGAGTGAGTGTGTTCCAAGTGCTATAAAAGGAGTTCTATTTACATTGAGAGAGTGTTTTGTGTAATTACGGCCGAGGAGATAAATTTGTGTGATTGTAATGAACAAAATGTTACAAAATACAGTTCTACACTTCTAAATTAAAAAATAAAAACAAAAAACAARAAACAAGAAAGAAAAATGTTACCAAAGAGACCATRACTAACTAAATCATCTTATAATTAGCAAGTCAATGAGTCACATGAACACATAATGTTTTCCCCAACACTAAATTGACCTTATATATTTCTTTTTCTGATCTTGTTCCCTAGGGATATGCAGTATTACCTAAACAAAATCGAAAATAAACAATATATATATATATATATATATAGGAGTTGGTGAGGATCTATCTTACGCGGATCACGATTCAAATTTAAGAGAAATAAAAAGAGAGAGGGAAAAAAAATTAATAAAAATAATGAGTTGTAGTCAACATAAAAATAAAAATAAGTGTAGTTACAAAATACATCCAAATTCTCGACTAAATCCAAACCCCAACCACTTTGGCATCTACTTCAATAATGGGTTAAGATTCTTCAACCGGCAGCCCCCCAATAAAATCAAAACAATTGAATACAAAAAATTCCTCAAAAAAATAAAATAAACCAACAAAGTTTTTTTCAAACTTATTCTTCCATCTTTTAAAATTCTCAAATTTATCTCTAATGTATTAACAATTCTCAACAAAGTGCTTCGCCTCTAAAAAACAATTTGTTAATAAATTATTATTTTATTAACATAATTAGACTTATCAAAAAAAACATTCCACTAATATATTTCTTTAATACAACATGTAGGGTAGGGAATCGGATTCATAACCTCTCGGTTAGAAGTATATACCAATTACCGTTGAACTGCTCGTTTTGACAACTAATATGTTCAGTTACTTAAATATGTTAATAAAATAATAATATAAAGTCTTATCTAACCACTCATTATTAACAAATTTTAATATGTTAACCTTCACTAGCGGTTTAATTGGTCCAAAGGAACTAAGGTAGAGTGAGAGGGAATGAGATCAAAATTTCATGGCCACCTACACTACGAACTAATTTCTATGTATTTGTCAGATTAGTAGAAGTACTCATAAGCACCGATATAGAAAAAACAAATTTTAATATATTGTTTGTGAGAGGAGCTGTGAGATAAGTACAAGTTAATTGGCGTCAGTTGCAAAGTTTATAGTACCAATGAGGTGTATTTTACAAAGCCACCATCTCTTCAGCTTTAAAATGGTAACAAAACAAAACTATATCCATTATGTTATGAACCCACAAACTCAAAAATTAGTAGAGAGAGATTCAGCTGCATTATTAATTAATGGATCTAAGTTTTGTAGTGATATTATTGGTTATTGTGTTGCTGTTTTTGCTATCAGCTTTGTTGGTTTTGCGTTCATGGGGTTCGCCAAAGGGCATGGAGGAGATTCCTGGGAATTTGGGGTGGCCTCTTGTGGGGGAAAGTTTCTCTTTTTTATCTGATTTTAGTAGCACTGCTGGTATTTGTAGCTTCATGATCAACAGGCAGAAGAGGTACTACTCAAACTTAATTTTCCTTTATAAAAGCGTCGAGAATATTTAGCGGACAATTTTGACATGTTTCAATTTATCGAGCAATAATTCAGATGTTTTTGATTAAACGTCGGAAGGAATGCAATATATATATACCGATGTTTTCTACAAAACGTCGACAATCATGACTGCTCCCAATGTTTTTACAAGAACGTGGAGAAAAGTGATCATTTTCCAACTTTTTAATATAAACGTTGGGAAAAGAATACTTTTCCCGACATTTTTGGCTTATCTTTAGAGCTTTAGAAAAAAAGTTCTCCTTTTGATACTTATATTACTTTTTTGGGATCTGCTACTCAACGTGTTGTTTTGTTACAGCTTTGCCTAGCACTTTCATCGAAAGCTTATACCTATAGACTTTGAAGTCAATTGTCGATGTTTTTGTAAAAAAGTCAGGAATATTTAGCGGGTAATTTTGGCATGGTTAAATTTATCGATATAAAAACGTCGGAAGAAATTGAATATTTACCAATATTTTCTACGAAACGTCGTCAAAGATAGACTTTTTGGCGACGTATTTGTAAAAACGTTGGCATTGCTTATAATTTTCCCAATGGTTTTTTTTTTGTCGAAGAAAATTCCGACGACTTTTAAACTTCGGAAAAACAATAAATTCTTATAATGGCAACTAGTGTATGCTGCCACACATCTATTGAACTAGATGCGTATCCAATAAGGTTTGGAATGTCGAAAAAGTGTTTGTAGTTCTTAGCCAAACATCAGACTGATTTGTTATCATAGTTTCTCTACAATTTACTGAAGTGCTTGTAATTGAAGTACTTTTATATATTAAGTACTTATTCTGGAAGCACTTCCCGACTCGGGTAGATTTGGAAAGGTTTTCAAGACTAGCGTGTTGGGGAGACTAACTGTGTTCATGACGGGGAGCGATGCCGCGAAGGTTTTACTGACGGGGAAGGACGGCATGGTGAGCTTGAACCTGTTCTACACCGGGAAGCAGGTCCTCGGCCAGAGCAGCTTGCTTCAGACCAACGGCGAAGCCCACAAGCGGCTGCGTAGGCTGATCGGAGAACCGCTCTCGATCGACGGGTTGAGGAAATACTTTCAGTTCATCAACAATTTGGCCATTGAAACTCTAGATGAATGGTCAGGGAGAAGTGTTTTTGTTCTTGAAGAAGCTTCCACAGTTGAGTTCCCTCACCTTCAAAATGATCACATCAGAATTTGGATATGATATGTGACATGATATTTGACAATAATTAGTTGTTTTGGTTTTTGTAGTTCACTCTCAAAGTAATTGGCAACATGATTATGAGCTTGGAGCCTAAAGGAGAAGAGCAAGAGAAGTTTAGAGACAATTTCAAGATAATCTCTTCTTGTTTTGCATCTTTGCCTCTTAATATCCCCGGGACCGCTTTCTACCGCGGTATGAAGGTAATAATAACATCGAGTTTTCAGTAAAAAATTAATACTAAACTCAAAAGCTTAAAGTCGATAGGATTACGATCAAGTATAGTTAGTCTCTTACTGCTCAAGCAAATATAGAATGCCTATCCCAAGCTTCCGCTATTTCTATACGTATTTTTTCCTCTCTGTTGTGCTTTTCTCTCGCGTTTGCCTCTTTTTTTGTGATTTTCTTTTGTCTTTTCTTGTGTATTATTCGAAATAGTCAATTCTGTGTTTTTCCATATCCCATTTCATCCGTCTAGAGGTATCAAAAGGAAATAACATTTCATCTCACTAACCTAGGTTTGAAACAAGTAACTTAATAAGTGACTATCAATATTAATAGAAGAGAAAATGACATTACAAACTCGAAAATTTACCTTCTCATTCAGAAGCTTAAAGTTGATAGGCTATGGTATATATATTTAAATTTTTATAGGTGCACTCGGTTTGAATATTCTTTGACATAAGCATTTTTTCTAGTGAATACTAACTACTAATATTAAAATATATATTATCTGAGTTTTGAATTTAGAACCTTCAACTCTGATATATCATATTAAATTCGTCAATAAATCTAGCGTATACACTTGAACTATGTTCAGGCACGGGAACGGATGTTCGAGATGTTAGATTCGATCATTGCGAAGCGACGAAGCGGAGAAATTTGCAGACAGGACTTCTTGGATTCACTAATAATAAAACACAAGAAAGCAGGAGCAGACAGTATCAGTGATGAAGAAAAACTGACAGATGCACAATTGAAGGACAATATTCTAACTCTGCTGATTGCTGGCCATGATACTACAACTGCAGCTCTCACTTGGCTCCTCAAATTTCTTGGGGAAAATCCTCATGTTTTGGAACAACTCAGGGTAAAAACCTTCTCCTCTTCGCTTTTGTCGCACGCTTTGGATCAAGCCATTGCTACTTGGCCTCATTTGATAACGATTTCTTATATTTCTAAACGTTATGTTTCACTTTGTTCAGAAACACATTTGAATGTTTGGTCAGACTTTAAAAACAAAAGCAAGGTTTTTTGGAAACGAAGAATTAGTTTCCAAAAACTTGGAATAATACACCTTAATTTTCAAAAACAGAAACCAAAATCAAAATGATTATCAAATGGAATTTGCTTTTTTTTCTTTTTTTTTTAAGTTAAGCTATTGAAAGGGTGTCTACTTCCGTTTTCTTTGTTCATATTTTGTTCTTCAGAATACTTTTTTAAATTTTAACCTATTTTTAAAAACAAAAAACACATTTGAAAATTACCTCTTTTACTTCTTAGAATTTGTCATAATTTTCAAATAAATTTAGAAGTAGATTTGAAAATAAGGAAAATTTTAAAGAGATTTTGTATTTAATAGGTCCTTGAAGTTCAAAAAGTATTTAATAAGATCATTAAACTTTTAATTTTGTGTCTCATTAATATGCTCATATTTGAAGTTTTAAAAAATTCATGAACTTTTTTAGACATAAAATTGAACAATCACGATCTCATAGGACACAAATTGTGTTTAATAAGTCCATGTATTTTACAAAATACCAAATATAATAGAAATCTATCAAACACAAAATTGAAAGTTCGAAACCTAGTACAAACTTTTACCCTCTGTTTGGCGTCAAGAAATTGATGAAATGATTTTAAATTCCGTGATTTGAAATCCGAGAAATGATTTTAAATTTTTTTATCTTGTTTGCGGAACAAGAATAATTTGAAACAAATTAAATTAGATTTCTTTGTTTGGAGGTTAACCGGGAATGAAAAGAAAATAATTTTTTTTACTAATACTTAGAAAGTCTATCAAATCCTGGAAAATCCGACCATTTTGATCTCGAAATTTTTTTAAGAAAAAATAGGATTTGAAATCGGATTCAAAATCATGTACTACAAAACAGTGGAATTCATTTTAAATCCGTCATGATTTTAAATTCCTTCAAAATTCGAGGTACCAAACAGAGCATTATGCTTTATAGATTTAAATGTTGAAAGACTAAACTTAATAATTTAACAAAATTTTAAAAATAGAAAAAAAAAATTGAACAAATAATCAAATAATCAAATGGGTCCTTTTCCATTCTTATTCTCAGCTTAGGGGAAAAAGTGATTGATTTTGTGAACTTGTAGATTGAACACCAAGAAATTCAAGCAAGGAGAAGGGGAGAAAATCTCACATGGGGTGATGTAAACAATTTGCCTTACACTGCCAAAGTATGTATCAAATTAATTGGATGGTGAATATATATGAATTTCTTTTTCTTATTATTTTCTGGGATTGGGATTCGTTGACTAGACTAAGCAACACTATGTCATCCTGGAAAAAAAAAAATAACATATATCTTTCAACAATAAAAATAGCTGATAATTAATATAAATTAAATGAGATGTTTGGGGGTTTGTAAATGAATTAAGTTTAGGTGATCAGTGAAACTCTGAGGAGAGCAACAATTCTACCATGGAATTCAAGAAGAGCTGCTCAAGATTTTGAAATTGGAGGTACATATGTCTCTCCCCATTCAAAACCAACATAGTTTTTAGACTTTCATCTATTTAAATTCTTGTATTTTAAAAAAATTTCAATTACGATATTGATCATTGAATTGTGGTTTTACAAGATCCATATAAATACCCTAACTAAATTATGATGTATTACGTCAATTAGATAAACATTAGTTGATTTCGCATGATATGATAGACAAAATGACACAGAGGAAAAAAGTAGAGACAATCTATTTAAAACAAGCGTGTGTTTAGCACCGTCAAAATTCAAACCTATAGACCTAATTGAAACTTTTCAAAGTCCAGATACTAAATTTCTTGTTTCCTCTATGCAATATTCTAATAATTAGGGTTTATGATGTGTTGAAGGGTACAAGATCAAGAAAGGGTGGTCAGTGAACTTGGATGTTGTTTCAATTCACCATGATGCTGCAGTTTTTCCTGAACCCAACAAATTTGATCCATCAAGATTTGAGGCATGTTATCAAAATGGAAGAACTGTTGAGAGTTATATGCTGAATTCATAAACTTGAATTAGTTTCATTATTGTTATTGAACTCTTCAGGCACCCTTGAAGCCCTTCAGCTTTCTTGGGTTTGGCAGTGGTCCAAGAATGTGTCCTGGAATCAACTTGGCAAAGCTCGAGATTTCGGTGTTCATCCATCACCTCGTTTGCAAATACAGGTGAGGTTTGCATGTATAGTTCAGTAAATTACAAGTTTAATCCCTCAACTTTCAGAGTAGGATCTAACGTTCTTCAAGTATAATATAGGTGTCTGAACATTCAATTTTGTGTCTAATAAGTTTATTTTAAAGTGTCTAATAGGTCTGTGAACTTTCGATTTTGTGTCGAATAGTAGGGGTGTTCACGAGTTGGGTTGGGTCGGGTTCAAGGGGTTTTTTGGACCAACCCGAAAATTCGGGTTGGACAGGTAGGAGAACCGATGAAACCGATTATACTAGCCAACCTAACCCAACCCAACCCTATATTTTTCGGGTTGGGTCTTCGAGTTACTTTACTTTCTATTTTCCTTTTCAAACAAGGGTTGGGATGGGATGAGTAACGGACGGTTGTAGACATAAGGGAATGACGGCATCGGCAGCAAGAGGCGAACGGTGACGAGAGACGAACGGCGGCGAATAAAGGTGAACGAAAGCGAACGGCGATGAACATAAGCGAACTACGACAAACAAAGACAAATAGAGGCGAACATATGCCAATGGCGGCGAAAAAATGCGAACGGTGAGAACGGTGGGGAACGATGGCGAACGATGGCTTAAGATGGTGAGATTGAGAAATATAGGATGAGATTGAGAGAGATGAGATGAGATCGAGAGGGAGATTGAGAGAGGTGTGATGTGATT